CCTAAACCCTTAAACCCTAAACCCTAAACCCTAAACCCTAAACCCTAAACCCTAAACCCTAAACCCTAAACCCTAAACCCTAAACCCTAAACCCTAAACCCTAAACCCTAAGCTACCCATGCGGTAGCTTTCTCTCCCCGACCCCGACCCAGACCCCGACTTACATGGATCATGTACCACAAAGCTTTTTAGAAAAAAGCTTTACCAAAAAAGTTTATATGACACTCTATGGCCATATCTTGTGATCATATACAGATATAATGAGATCATCGGAGTCATATCTCCATGAGATCCTGTATCGTATTCCAAGAGATGTACATAGGATTATGATATAAGGCCTGTACAAGATATCATGTCAACCTCGCCTCAGTCAAAGCGCGTTCGGGGCGCTCTCCCCGACATATGACGATCTCTTTATATCATATACAGCTATGTTGAGAAATGCTAAACTCAGATGTTCAATGAACCTGTATGAAAAATAAAGATCAAATATAGCAACATGATATAGTGTCGTACAAGATACTATGTCAACCTTGCCTCAGTCAAAGCGCGTTCGGGGCGCTCTCCCCGATAGCTCTCCTTTGGATACCTTTCGGTGTAGTGATTCTTTCCTGAATCCCACAATGATATGTATTTGCCATTTATCTTTGATGTTATGTAGAATTCTGGTCCATTGTAACTCATGTCTTTGATGACACCTGGAGTCTTTACATGTGAAGATTTAGACCACCAGAAATTCCCTGAGAAATGCAATCTTGGGTTCGATTGCAAATTCACTCCCACAGCATCATGAGTCTTCAATAGCTCTAAACACTTGGCATGCTCATGGATATTGAAATAAACCATGAAATCTATCCAATCCTTTATGTTTTGTTTTATCGAAGCGAAGTTGCGTGTGACACCCTTAGAGTGTATATAAAGCACATTGAAATCCTCAACAAGAGAGTGTGAGTACAATAATTCCATTATTTTGAATTCAAAAAGGGCCGTGTCGTTCGATAGATAAATGATCTTGATCTTATCATAATGCTTGAATTCATCATTGTAATTGCCCAGAATCACACAACGGATCTCATCGATGATATTGTATAGCCCTGAATCTACTATGTTGTTCAACAGATTCTGTACGATCTCCTTCCAATTATTGATACAACATACATGCAAATAAATGTAATTCTTGCTCATCTCTTGTTTATATATAAATGTTTTATTGGTGTCTCTCAAATGCTCTTATGGGCATGCTAGGTTTCTCGATGTAGCTTGTAGAGATTCTCTAAACTAACCGAGTGTGAGGGTCACCGAATCCTTTTTGGAATCATTGATGTACACTGAATAAAGCACATCAAAGTCATTATTGAACACGAATGATTTTCTTATTTCAGACCGAACGATCCTTAGTGTGAAATATCTGTTGCTTGAGTCTTTGAACCTTAGTTCAAGCTCATTTCTTCTATTCATCGCATGATCATAATAACTATTCATTTGGATGTAAGTTAGGTTTTCATATCCATCCATAGATATCTTCTGATGGCTGGAGAAAATGTCTTGTAATCTCGCTAGCTCATCTGTATTATTGTAATCCATTATTCTCTTTGTGTCATCTATGGCAATGTCTCCTGGCTTCTTGCTAGAGCTTAAAATAAATCGCAGCGCCCCGCCCTTCTTCTTGTTCTTTGAGAACACTGGCGATCTTATATTGGTGTACTCCTTGTTGAATATGACATACTTCGATCTTCCCTTAGAATACACTATCCGATCTCTATTGCCGATCCGGATCTTCTCGTTTGTTTTCTTGTAGCCATCCATTTATCTATTTACAATCTTTTTATTCCATACATCTATGATTTATATGTTGGCATGTATACATTCCTTTATAGCTCGCTCACCACAAGATCGAAAAAATGATCCGCAATCTTTTCTTATAAACAAAAGCCAATGTATAGTTTCAAGATTGTATCTATCTGCGGATTGTCTTCCCTTCATGTTTATGATCAAACAAGATTTGGAAGTGGGGTTCCCGCCGAGCTCGTTCAAACCTGGGAAATTGATGATGTCAAGATATCGGTGTTTCATTCTGGTTTGAGCTATGTTATCGCCTTCCATCTTCACCATGATCTCATCATTCCCGATGATTGCTCCCTGAGCCCCCTAAATGAGGTTGACAAGATATGGAGCAATGTCCCTTCCAATGTATCCATCCTCTCCCCTGTTGTCCTTCATCTACAGAGGCTTCTCAATAGCCATGTATATAAAGAGCTTATTGAGTTCCTCAAAGATATATCGCAAGACAATGAGATATACTTTTCAGGGTTTTCAATGGGTGGGCTCCTATCACAACTGACGATGCTTCATGCTGTTCAGAATTCCCTCTCACAGAGAAATATGAGGTGTATTACCTTTGGCAAGCCCTTGCCTGGAAACATCGGATTTGCGCATCATTGTAACAACATCATCAGATGGTGCTCAAATTTCATAGCGAAGGGTGATAATATCCAGGAGTGTTTCAAGGAGCAAGAAGGCATATCAGAATTCTATGAGGACACACAATCAATCATATACGATAATGACGAGGTCTTTGTTTGTCAAAGCAATAGGGACTTGATAGCACACGATCCTGAATATTACTCGCGATGCCATAAGAATCTTTACAGACGGAAGACACAACAACAAATCCCAAATCTTGATGAGACATCCGCAAGCCTTGCTATCAGCCGATTCTTCAGAAACCATGTACTTAAGGGATCTATCCGATTCCAAGTGTCAAGAGTGAACAGCACAAGGATAATATCTGAGTGGATGAACACCGCTCCATTTGAAGAGGTGACAGCACGCTTGCGAGTGAATTGGGTTATATTGCGCATGAAGAAGATGCTAGAAACAATCATATACCTGACAACAAGAGCTAAGATCAGAGCAAGGATCCCTTCGGACACAAGAAATGTTGAGAGACCAAATGTGAGGGTATTCTTAGCAGCGTTCATGATCATTGCAAGGCCTGAGAGCTGTTTCGAGTGTATTGGCAGGCTTGAGAGGACTGTTGAGGATGCCGCCAAAAGACTTGTGAGCACCTTCAAAGATATCTGCTCAAGGGTTGAGGATTCGAAATCAAGGCCTGTTACTCTGTATGATTGGCATTCATGGATATGCTTTCTGAAACAGCTTGATGAGTATCTTGATGCCTTCAAGGCATGGAAGATCCCCGATGAAAACAAGCTTACGGAGCGCATCAAGCATGCTCTTCTTGCTGTCTATCGTGCTGAATCACACCTTCACCCTGATAATGAGGAGTATGATTCTATGAAGGCCGAATTTGAATCACAGAAGGTTAAACTCAGAGCAAAGATGCTCCAGATGGCAGGGCCACAGGGATTGGAGAGCTTCGATGAATCACTTGTTCTACAAGGATTGAGCTCTATTAATGTTGATACCCCTCCTTCAGTGCCAGCACCTGAATCATCCTCCATGAATGCGTCTGGATTGTCTTCCCTCCCTGGCAGGATGACAAATGAACAGTTGGCACATGAACTCCTTCTAGATCCAACCTTCACGCTTGATGTTGAGGGAGCGGGATACATTGAAAATCCTGTGCTCGCAAAGGTGCGAGAGAGCTTCAAGGTGGCCTTTTGGGATAGCCTTGTGGATGACCTTAGATTGAGCCCACCTTGTTACATCAGAGTGCTAAGGGTCATAGGAGAGGTTAGAGATGGCATGATAGATCTTACACCTGGCCGGAGCAAAGAACTAAAGGAGAAGATTGACACATTGTATTGGCAGGAACAGATCGAGTCCGGAACCATTGATTGGGAGTCATGTATATCCTTGATCAGGGGCATGTTGGGAATCGCAATGGAGATCCAGGAACCATTCAGGAAGAAAGAGACACAGGACAGGTGGAATGAACTTGAGCAGGAACTGAGAGCTAGCACCCCTCAAGACCAACCTATGTCTTTCTGCAAGGCATTGGAGTACGTGCTGTCACGCGTGAATGTCATGAGAGTGGACGCAGCAAACACAAGGTTGCGGAGCATTGCTCATGTAATACAAAACCATGGCATAGAATATGAACAAGCGCACATGAACAAGAAGCTGAAGGCGAACCCAACCTATCTAAAGCGGACACCTGAATGGATTCATGAGGTCATACAGAAGGAGATTGAGAGGGGAAGGACAGATCTTGCGAGGCTTGTGCGAGGAGAGGCGAAGGCATATGTCGATATCCATACTGCCTCTGTGTTGAGCCTCATCACAGGGAATGAGCCAGTTAAGACGAAGGACTGTCCCGAGACATTGTTGCTGGACCTTAGCAGGTTGCACAAGTTCCATGCTGACTTTCATTTTGATGTGCTGTCTGCGTGCATGCTTGCGATGGCATCACAACGGATGCTCATGGCCATGAAGAACGATGTGAGAGTTCCAAGGTTCTTAGAGCACCTGAAGGCAGTATTGAACAGATTTGAGGCATCACTTGTTGAGAAGAAGGAATTTGTAAGGTCTGTTGTATCAACCTTTGAATCTGAGCTATCTGTGGATGAAAGAGAGCTTGTTGTGTGTTGCTTGCCTTCATCAAGCAAGCCAATGGCATATTCGAGCGAGATGCTGGAGAGGCTCATCGAGGTTCCTCAGATGGTATTAGAGAAGAGCTTCCTTCCTATTGAGGAGCAGTGGTTGCGTTTGATATCTGAGAACGGGATCAAGACTGAGAACGAGATTCCACAATCACCATTTGTAAGGAATGTATATGAGCGCATATTAAGAAACACAAAGAAGATGAGGAACATGGTCAGTTTGAATCGAAAGGTACACTTCGACAAATACAATAATATGATAGCATCATACAGCCAACAACTCTGCCGATCACAAAAGGATGCTGACAAGGAACCACAAGAGGACTCTTCGAAGAAGCCTAGAGTATGAATGTAAAAGATATATAAGGGACATCATAAATTTTTATTATTTCGTGTTGCTAAGAAGCATGGCATATCATATAATGTCATGTGAAAATGGGTGAAAAATATCAATCCAGATCAAATAACTGCGTCTAAATAGCCACAATCTTTCCATACCCAAAAGTATATAAGGATAACATAGCATATATTGATCATCTGATGAGTCAATACTAAAACTTATCAGAATCCATTAGATTGTGGTCAATGCTCTTGTTAAGATCAGTTAGCAATTGTGTTGGTCCTCAGTTTCTTTAATCTATACTGAATTATTTTTAATTTGCCCTTTGTTCGTGTAGCTCAGTTGGTTAGAGCTGCGAGCTTAATAAAATTATTCCATAATTTTTTTGTAAATTATGGGAGGGTCGGTGTAACGGTGTCCACATCTGTCTTATAAGCAGAAGATAAAGGGTTCAACTCCCTTACCCTCTACCATAATTTATCAATTATTACGCTCTAAGGCGTTAAATCAAAATAAAAAGTTCCAGGTTAGAATTTCACAATATAACTAAAAGGTTGATCCTCTGTCCTGAAATCAAGCAACCAATGTGCTTACTAAAAATAAAAATGATGAATCATAAAATGGATTCATTAGAATCAAATCATGATTTGTGATTGTGAAGGTTGTACAAATATCGCAACATATGGCTTCAAGAACACTCAAAAGAATAGATGCAAAGATCACAAAGAAAATGGTATGGTGATGCGTCCATTGAATTATTGCACTCATCTAAACAAAAAATATGAATGCAAACAATGTGGCAATGGCGCTAAGTGTATTGAACAAGGCTGTGATAACATAGCCTTGTATGGTGAAAAAAATAAAGATATTACAGTTTGCCAGTTGCATAAGAAGAAGGATTATGTAAAGAATCCTAAAACTTATTGCTTTCATAAAAAGAACAAAAGAAGATGCGATCAATGTCAAGGCATTCAAAAGCAATCCATCTTAGATAAGAACATCTCAAAACTAGAAGATCAAAAAGCAAAGATACAAGAAGCCATCCAAGAATCTCAATCTTGGAATGAATTCATGGAAAAGATTGGAATTCTCTATATCGATTATATATACATTGATATGCTGAAAACTATAAATATTCCAAAGCATTTTCCCATTATATTTGGATTGTCTAATGATAATTTGATGTTTAGATATTCTAAGAAGTATTATGAAAATCTTGTGCAAGAATCCAAAACTTGGATAGAGTTTGTAAAAAAATCACCTGTCAAGGACATGAACAAGCTTATTCCATTTATGAATGGATTAGGCATCAATCTTGATAAGTTTGGAGATTATGCGGTCATGAAGGACAAAGTACATAGATTGTACTATGATAAGAGAAAATTATCACTTATTATATTGGATGATATAGTATATAACAGGACCATAAGCAAAACCTATGTTAAGTTCATAGATGATACAAGACTCAATATGGATCATCATATAAATTCTTCTTCAGTCAAGTATGCTCTAAGAGACATCCTTATCAAGAACAATTACATCTCTAATACAAATATTATAAAACAAAGGCTTATTCATGAGTGGATGTGGAGAGAGAGAGATGTGTATTGTGTGATAGGACACACTTTACAAACAAATTCTACACCATGATCAAGATCCCATTAGAGATTGATCATATAGATGGCGATAGGACAAATAACTCACCAGATAACCTAAGGTTGTTATGCCATATGTGTCATCAGCTGACGGATACATGGTGTGGCGGGAACACAGCGAAGGCTAAAGAGAACAAACCGGTCATACTGTGTCAATGTGGAGAGAAGATGGAAAAGAATTCAAAGAAATGTTTCAAGTGTCGATATCTTGAATTGTGTCATGATATTGATTCATTGCATATTGATGAACTGAAACATTTGCAGGATGTTGTATCTAAATCTAAGGATTGGAATCAATTTATGCTTCTATACAAGATACAGCATCTAGATGCTTCTGTCATAAAGAAGATCTACAAGAATAACATAGATATATCTCATCTTCCAAGTCTTCATAATAGCAACGTTTCTGCTCTTAGAAAGCATTGTGATCAATATCATATTGATAAGATTCGCGGATGCAATTCTCTAAGCGAATTGTTTGCTGAATACGGATACAAGACAAAACCAAATAAGACAGTGTTGTTAAATTTCTTCATTGAGAGAGAGATTGATATATCTCATCTAGAGGATGATGATAATAATGTTGACAATAAGTACGCCACATATAAGCTTGATGATATATTGGTAGAGAATAGCAAATATAAGAGTAGACAATTATTGCTGAGGAGATTGATCACAGAAAAGAAATGGTCGCATAAATGCAATCATTGTGGCCAAACAAGATTCTCTAATAAGTTGAATGAAGATGCACCCATCAAGCTTCACCTTGAACACAAGAACGGCATCAACAATGATAATCGCATTGAGAATCTAGAATTCCTGTGCGCAACATGCCATGCATTGACAGATACATATAGATCTAAGAATAAGAAGAACATTCAAAAACCAGAAAAACAACGACCAATAAACACAAAATCAACTGTAATAAAAGATAAAACAATTACTGTAACCGATGGAAAGATATCATTGTCATCAGCTAAAACAAACAATGAGTGCGATTACTGTATAGATTGTAAAGCAATTGTTTATAAGGGTTCTCAAAGATGCATCAAATGCCATCATATTCGTAACGCAAAGGTCAAGAATAGACCCTCGTATGAACAGCTTCTAAGAGATTTCAATGAGTTGCAATCATATCTGCAAGTCGGAAAGAAATATGGGGTTTCTGATAATGCTGTTCGCAAATGGATTCAGAAATACTCAAATGAACCACAAGCAAAAACCAATGAACCACAAGCGAGATCCTAAGAATTACACGCTCATCAACAACTATTTCCCAATCAATAAAATATATTTTTATTTTCACTTCAAAATTATTTGCTTATTCATCCAAATTCATACACACTCGTATTGCTCTCGGTCTCCAATCTCTCTAGCAGGTTTCTGCTGAAAGCATCCTCGTATCTTATCAGATATTGAAGGTACAACCATTGTCTCTTGTCACGATCCGATGGCCCTCTAAACAGCGCCTCCTCATTATGCCTCTGCTGCTTTTCCATATAGTCTTCCATCCTCCTATGGCTCTCATGTAATTCCGCATGCAACTCAAACAGCCGATTGTGAGTGAACAATATATCTGAATCTGTAATGCCATGCTCTCTCCCCTTCTCTTCCACAAGATCCTGAGCATATATCTCACAATTCACACCAAACACCAACAGTGATTGGAGAAGTCCATTGTGAGTTGAATAGGATAGATGGAATACATTCATTTTTGAATGAACAAGTGGAAGATCATGACAAAATATGCCTGGTGATCATGTCAAGTCATGTCAAGACTATTGAAAAACAAAGCATGTGTATGCCATTATTATGATAAAGGCATTTTTTGTGAGCGCACGGCATATGCTAGTCTTCAAGAAGGATCAGGTCAACGACAGTGATTGTTTTGTAGAATCTAAAATCAGCGGGGCAGATGCTGCTAAATGATGGTTGTTCTTTGGGAACAGATGTTGTTGAATTGCTCATATACTTTCCATTGTAATAGATGATCTCCTTGGCATTATCTCTAACAAGAAATTTATGTTTAGCGTTGAGGTACACCTGACTGTTGAAAGCTATCAAAGGGGTGTTCTTTGGAATAAGGAGCCTGCATCGAATGGATTGCATGTTCATGCTCAATTGATCTTCAAACATCATGAGTTTCATTGGGAACGCTGTGTCGATCTCAAACACATCATTATTCTTGAAGGATCTGAAGTCATTTGACGTTGTATACAGCAGCATGGGTTTTTCAGTCCTTGGAGCATCCTGAAAGAGTGGTGCTAGCTTGTTTGCATCGTTGCTTCTGAAACATTCGATAATAGTGCTGTTGAAGATTTCAGTAGAAAGGTTCTTGATAAATTTAACATTCTTTGTGAAGAATGATGGGTCATATGGCAAGAATTTTGTGTGAATGAACAATGAGTTTACAAAATACTTATTGTACTTGTTGAAATAGTATGTAACAGTGTTCTTTTTTATGGTGAATGATTTGTCTGCTATTTCAACAATATCATAAGATTCTGTTATAGTTTTAGCCTTGCTATTATTCACTAATTCATTGTACAACCTATATTTATCACACAAGGCCTTGTGATCATCACTAATATATTCATTTTTCGCTTCATGTCTTCGTCTTATCTTATCAAGTTTCGATTTAGAGTGCTTTCTTTTTACACTTGGGAAGCAGAGCTTGCCAAAGGCAACACCATTGAATAGGCATCACAATAGTAATGGCGTTTTCGCACTCTAAGTTCTAGGTCTCAGAGGTCGCCACCTCCTAACCCGTCTCCGGTAGTTTCATTACCGGACAGTGTTTGGCCATCCAACAGCCTTTTTAGGATGTTGAACGCTCCAGCTACATTCCGATTCCACCACCTGCTGCAGCTATCGTTTGTACAACGAAGCAGATGGTGTCTTGTGATCGAATTGCATGTAGTCTTTGTCAAGGTTCGTTCCTTGCAACTTGGACATTCCTTGGAGGTATAGTGCTCTGGCACTGTTTTTGTATTGAATAATGATTCAAACCGTCTCCTTATTCCAATTCCTGGTGTTGGTCCTATTGAGCATCTTAGCGTGTTCGGATTCCTTCCCCAGTCACCCCATCCGATAGTTATGTCTTGGTGCTTATGGACCTCCTTCAAAGCGTTCATGCGCATAGATCCGGAAGCACACCTTGCCTTGTCCAGGTTTGTCTGCGGTTGTTTGAATGTTGTAAACACTCTATGCATAAACCTATGTTCGGAGCTCTTGGTCTTGTTATAAACCAAAAACTTGAACTCTCTAAAGACTGGATGAGAGTAGCACTCAAGCAGCCTTTCCTGCATCCTCTTTCTGGAACAGGCATAGCGTTGAAACATCTCGGGATGGCAAGATCGTTTCTGGAATCGGTTCATAACCTGTGTTTCATATGCTTCTAGGTGACACCCTCTGCGCCGCTTTAGATTGTTTCTCAGTCTTGTTTTCTTATGAGTGTCCATGTCTCGCTGCCCCTTGGTGTAACAGATTGTCTTGACTCCATCTGTTATGGCTAGGATGTCTCTCTTTCCTGGATCACAACCCAATAGCTTCGATGTCTTTAGATCTTCTTTTGTAACTTCCTTGCTATCTTGTTCATCATCCTTCTCACATGTTGTTGCTTTCTTCTTGGATGAGAAGACCTTACGTCCGAACATGTTGTTATCAATGACCTGGAATGAGATGGACACACCATCCGTTACAACCGCATTATCAAACATCCATTGTGTTCTCTTAGGATCGTTCTTACGAACCACCCCGTCAAGCTCCTTCCATTGTCGGCACGTCTTTAGGTTTGTCAAGAAGCTCCACATCTCTGTTGCGTACAGCCCGGCCTCCCTGTTCGATGTTGCTTTCCGTCCAAAGATCTTCTCAAAACTTGCTAGCATATTAGCCTTGGTTGATATATTCAGACTTACTCCAAACTCAGCAAGATAAAATCTCTTGAAGTCATCAATACGGTCCTTAGTCATCAGCAGCTGCGATAAGCCGGATGTATCAATCCGTATGTGCATCGGGACAAACGATGAATAGAAAGGCAATGGATTGAGCAGCCTCCTCTCCTTGTGCATCACAGTTAGGAAGTCTGTCTCTAAGGCCTGATTTATCATAACCATCTTAGGCAGATAGACCCATGGGTTTGCCTTTAGATCATAAACTCTAGGAGCATCCTCCTTTATCTTAGGTGGAAATAGGAACGAGTAGCTGGCATCATGGAGACCATATTTTAGCATCAAATCTGGTTGTAGGTCGAGTGTTGCGTCGTACATATAAACGTTGGTGTATATAGCAGCCACTCTCCTTGCTTCGGACTTATCCATATTCTTAGCCAGCATGTCACATAGGATATAACGTTTGGTGTATTTCAAGAAGTGGGTCTCGATGTTGTTTTTATACGCGGTAAGGAGGTTGTCGATAGAGTATGCTAAGATATGTGATAGAGAGAGGTCTGTTTCGAACCCTTTATCATTCGGAAGACGTTCATACAGCTTCTTGTGCTCATCTAACATGTCGTTGAAGATAGTTATCTTAGCAGATCGTTCAGGACCAACACCACGGACTGGAGGCCTTGTTATGCCTTGGACTATGCTACAGGCCATGGATATATGGAAGTGCTCAAGCTCAAGTTCTTTGCCATCTGACTCAAGAGGGTATGAGCTCTGGAACCATCGCAGGTAATATGATCGGATGAGTATGGACGCATCTGACATGATCCTATGAGCATGCTTGACAGCATCCTTGATTGTAACAAGGTCCTCCGACTTGAAGAAGCCCTTGGCCTTTCGTTTTACAATCCTAATGTTTGACATTCCTCTCTAACATAGTCTCTTGTATGTTTATAATTATGATCCAAAGCCTTATATCCTTTTATGATGTCGATTGCCTCTTCAATACGGTCTACCATGCTATTATTTGTTGTCTTGGTTCTAAAAGCCCTCTTCAATAGAGAGAAGACCTCCTCAATGGGATTGCATCGTGGTGAGTATGGAGGAATATAAAGTGGGGTAAGACCATGTTGTTCCAACAAGCCAACAACCTCTTTAGACCTATGGAAGGCCACATTATCCATAAGGATGGCTTTTGTGCTCTTAGGAAGCTTAGGAATAAGACCCTATAAAAAAACTAAGAATGAAGCCTTTGTAAAGGCCTTGTTTACACGTTTATAAGAAACAATGCCAAGAGAAGGGTGAACAGCCATGACCAATGATACTCTTTCACGTTTTGATACCTTGATTGCGTTGGGTTGTCTTCCCTTGGGGAAGTAGCCATAAAAAGGGTTGCCAACATTGCAGAATGAGGTCTCATCCAGACAAACGATATTGTCGTTCAAGAATAAATCTATTGAGGCTTTGAAGTCTGAAAACCTGGCCTTTCTATCACTTGGATTTGTTGGATTGATATGGTGAATGTTGAAACGGCGCCTTGATATCTTACATTTTTAAGGATTCTATGAATAGATGTCAAGGAGGAAGAGATGCCATAAGATAGATTCAATGTGTATTGGATTTGCTTTAGATGCATGAAGGCGAGATCTTTGTTTTGGCAGAAGAGGTGCTTTATAACATCATCTAGATGAGGATACTTATGACGACGCTTGAAACGTCGTTTGCGCTTATCCTTGCGTCTAATAACTGTTCTAAGATTGGTCCACCATCTATGAATGGTGGATTTGCTAATACCAGTGATATACGAGGCCTTCCTAAGACTTTTGACCCTATTATAGGTTTCAAGAGCTGCAATGACCTCACCAGCCGGATAAGTTCTAGAATACATCATTACATATTCAAGTACAAAAAATAAGTGTCCCAACATAAAAACGCAAACAACTTTAAAGCTGATAGAGGATGGGGTGATCCCAGCGTTCAAGAATGGGTACAAGTGTGTATTGATTCACGATGGGCTTCAAGTGCCATGGACAGAGGAGAATGAGGAGAGGATGAGAGACATGACGAAGTATGAGGAGTTCATAAAGCAGAGGACGGGGATAGAGATAAAGTTGAAGGTAAAACCCTTTGACGAGTATATGACGATAAAGGAGGAGATTGATAATCTGATTCAAGATAAGAATGATGATTTAGGTGCTTTCAGGATATTCAAAGAGAGATTTAAGGGTTGTTTCAAATTTTCGAACAACACGTTCTATCACTACAATGGAAAGATATGGATATCTGATAGCAAGGCTGTCAATCGTGCAATAGCACAACTATACTACAACCTAGATATAATGTATATGGAGTCAGGGGTGATGAAACCATACTCAAACAACGAGTCAAATGTGAAGAGGGCAGTAAAGACCACAACGGACCATCAAGATGCGAAGTGTTTCAAGGACGAACAGTTTTTGAACAGGATGAAGAGTTCAAATGTGGGATACTTACCATTTAATAATGGGATATATTCATTCAGGGACAGAAGACTACTGTCATTCGATGAAGCATACAACAGAGACATTCACTTCACAAGAATAATATCGTATGACTTGAAGATGATAAATGATGAAGCAGTGATGAAGACGTTTTATGAGAAGGTGATAGACCCAATCCTTCCAGACATTGAACAACAAAAATTCTTTCTTGGTTGTTTGTCAAGAACGATAGCAGGTTTTAGCAATGATAAGAAATGGTTCATATGTAAAGGGGAAAGAAACTGTGGCAAGGGTTTGATATGCAACATGATGAAGAAGTCATTTGAAGGGTTTACACAAACTTTCAATCTTGCTTCATTAATTCAAAGAAGACATCAATCACAAGACGAAGCAAAAGCCTTATCCTTCATGGCTTCATGGGATGACGTTAGATTTACATATACAAACGAGATAAGACAATCATCAAAAAAAGAGAGGATTGATGGGAGTCTTATTAAGATGATGACTGGTGGAGATTCAGTGCAAGTAAGAAAGAACTTTGTAGATGAAAGAGAGATGAACCATAATGCAGTTCCTTTTTTCTTTTGCAATGAATTTCCAGAAGTTGATCCTGTCGACACTTATGAAACTCTAGTTGGCATATTGTTTCCATCAAAATTCCAACCAGAACAAGAGTTTATGAATTATAGGGAACAAGACATCACGATCCCATCATTCTGGAAACTAGCAGATAAAAACTTGAAAGAATGGATAACAAGAGAAGAGAATGTACTGGCTTTTACACAGATAATACTAGAGAGCTTTAGAGATAATTTAAATATTCCAGAGTGTGTATTAAGAGATTCTTCGTCACTAAAACCTGAGAGAGGCACTGTAGATCTGAACGTTATCTTCTGTGAAATGTTCCAATATGATACCACTTCAACAGGCCTGCACATGAGCACTATAAAAACAGAATTGAAGAAATGTAAACATACCACCTCGCTGACACCATCCCAAGTGAAGGAATATATCATAAGGAACAAACTAGCTGGTCCTTATTCGGATAAACATATAATTGTTGATAATAAACAATCAAATGGCTTCAAGCACATATCTGTAAGAGACCATCCTTACAATGGAATGGTTGATTCAGATGATGATGAATAAGGAAAAAATTACCATACTAATTACTAAACCTCTCTAAATTTAGTCTGAAATAGAGGAAATGGGGAAAATGGGGAAAATGGGGAAGATTTTAGAAAGTTTTTCGTGTATACGAGAAAAAAATTTGAGCGTGAAAAAAAAATTTTGATTTTTGAAAAAAGGATTGAAAACCTTCCCCATTTTCCCCATTTTCCCCATTTTCCCCATTTTCCCCAGACAGTAGCCACTAAACTAAGGAATAATAGAGTCGTGGGATATGGCAAGCTGCGCTTGCTCGCCTGCGTGCTTCGCACTAGGCTATGCCGGAACGAGTGATACAGGCATCCATCAATTTATGAGGGCAGGAGGTGGTTTTAGTGAAAGGACAGGACAGAATCGCCTATTACGTTTAGAGATATTATAAAGGAAGTAGGAAACGTAATAGTCGATTCTGTCTAGTGGTCTATTCTAGACTAGGGAATAGAAGGAGGACAGAGAGGGGTTATTGCAGAAGATTGGATCATAATAAAAGCTTGAAGGAGGGCAGGAGGTGGTTCAAGTGAAAGGACAGGACAAAATCGCCTATTACGTTTTGAGATATTATATAGGAAGTAGGAAACGTAATAGGCGATTTTGTCCAGTAGTGTAGAATAGACTAGGGAATGCGAAAGACATGGTGAAATATGGGAGTGGGCGATATAAAAAACAGATGAATACGAAAGAATAAGATGATAGATTACTCGAAGGGGGTGATATATACGATAAGGAATAAGGGGGATAAGGGGTTGATATATGTGGGGTCGACAGTACAACCATTATCAAAGAGGTTAGGACAGCACAAGAAGGAGTGTTTAGATCCGAGGGGGAGAACATACAACATGCTACTGTATGAGAAGGTGAGAGGGTCAAAAGGATGGGAGGAGTGGTATATAGAACTATATGAGGTGTATCCTTGTAAGAGCAAGGAGGAACTGAAGAGAAGGGAGGGGGAGGTGAGGAGGGAGATCGGGAATATGAATTGAAAGGCATATAAGAGAAAAACGAATAAAAACGAAGGAAAGAGAATGTCAGAATATTCGAAGAGCATGATATACACATTGAGATGTAAGACGGAGCCGGGGTTGGTGTATGTAGGTTCAACAATACAGCCATTATTAAAAAGATGGCAGACTCATAGGTACAGATGTTCAAGATCAGAAGAGGGTGATAGATATGGGAGAACCCAATTATATAGAAAGATGAGGGAGACAGGGGTAGAGAATTGGTACATAGAACTGCATGAGAAGTATCCATGTAAAAGCAAGTTAGAGCTATGTACGAGAGAAGGAGAGATAATACGTGAGATAGGGACACTGAATGTGAGGATAGAGAGAAGAGACATAAAAGAATGGACAGAGACGAATGCTGAGAAGATAAGGATACAAAAAAGAGATTATAGGAAAAATAAAACAGATAGGGAGAAGGATATAGAGAATTGTAGGAAGTACTATGAAAAGAACAGAGAAAGAATAAGGGAGCACTGTAAGAAGAAGTACGAAGAGGGGATGATAGAGTGTTTGTGTGGTCGGAGAGTGCACAAAAGGAGCATAGAGAAGCATATACAGACATTGAGACACGTTCAAGATTTGTTCAAGGATGTAATGATGAGGTTAGAGATGGATGTAAAAGAAGAAGACAAAGAAGAGGTAAATGTGGAGAGAAGTATGATGGATTGTTTAGATAAGATGGAGGAGTGTGTAAGATCATTAGAGTGTGCATTAAGCAATATAAAATGTAGATCTTTATGAAATATAAGAGGGATGAGAGTATATATGTATAGAGAATGATAGATCTGTTGAATTTACCAGATTGCGCGCAGGAGTTGATAGAGGGATATTTAGAGTCATGGATAGAAGAGATAGAGAGGATGGTGTATAAGATGGAGGGGGAGGTGTATGGTTTTAGTTACAATTTCATGAAGAAGAGGGAGCAGAAGAATAACAGACTTCTGATGGACATGCCACTGAGAATACTAGAGAATCATGGAGTGTTAAAGAGGAGAGGGATGACGAGGGAGAGGGCGATGGATGATCTGAGAAGATTGTATGATCTGAAGGAGGTATTTTTCAGGATGTATGAGGAGGAGGATATGTACACACAATGGTATACAGAATTTGATGAGGACTATGATGAGACGTTTAGGAGGACGATAGTGATATACTTATACATGAGGGATGTATATGTATGGTTGAATTTATTGAGGAGGGT